TCAGAGGTAGTTATAATTTCGACTCCGAAAATTTTTCAGTAAACCCGATTCCGATTCGGAAAATTTATGTTTTGTTGACTCTGACTCCGAGCCCGACTGCCTAGGAGTGTGAATCGGGTTTCAAAGTTTCCCGTAGGCCTCTAGTTATAACCTATAGTAGCCCTATAAAATCTTGAAAACATAAGCGTAAAAACTCTTAGATATTTAGAAAAAATTTAATCCATAACATCAATTTTATCAGCTGAAGAAACTGTAGGAACTCGCTAGTTTTTACCGGTCTAGAAAGATATTTCGACCGGCCGGTCCGGTTTAAAATCTAAACCGTCCGGAGCTGACCGGTTTAATATTTCTTCACTGGTTACAACTCTGGCACAAGTATCCAAAGTAAAAATACAAAACTTCAGTTTCTTTCTTGAATGTTTATCTATCTTGTATTTCTAGTATTGGAATACACTTGCATTAGATGCTTCAAATTGGGAAAGTATTTATTTAACACATTTTCATGGTGATATTAATGTAATGAAACAAATTTCGATTGATTATTTCATTTGTTTGGTTTTTTTAAGGGAACTATTCTTGAAAATTTAAGTAAACGATGTGGAAAATTTTTGAAAAGATTAAATATTGAAAATTGTAAATTTATTACTGATCATAATATGCGGGCAAAATAATTATTTATTATTTGAAAAAAATTTGATTCTTTTTTAATTAGTATTCTTGCCAGTTATTGTCCAAATTTGGGAAAATTAGTTGTTAAACATTGTAACAAATTATCCAATACGTACATAAAAAAAAACTTTCTTTTTTCCATTCGAATTGAATAAATATTTTAATTTAGTGCCTTATTATATTTGAGTAAACATTGTCCTTATTTAAAACATATTAGCATTGCATCATGTCGTCAGATTGGTGATCAAGGAATGAAAATAATTAGGTAGAATTTCTAATATTGAATGAAATATTTATTTTATTATTATTATTATCTAGTTCGAGTTGTCGTAATTTAGAATGTTTGGATATATCATGGTGTATGAATATAACAGAGAATGGTATCCGAATTCTAGCTGAATCATATCCAAAATTAACAAATTTTAAAGCTGAAGGATGTACACAAGTAAGATGAAGAGAACTTATTTTTACTTTCTTGCGTGCTATACTTAGATAGCCTATTATTTTCTTTTCTGATGCTATGTATTAGTCATATATGTACAAATACATTTTCTTTTCTTTTGTTTAGACTCTTCTTTAAATTCAACAAATAGTTATATTCTATTAACTTATTCATTTTAATTTTCATTGAAATCAAATTTATAATGGATACAACCATGGATACACCAAGACAAAAATGTGGCATATGCAATCAACGTGATGTATCAAATGAAATGTCACTTTTTTGTGAAATATGTGTTGCGACAACAGTGAATGAAAAATTATCAACAATGAGTATGAAGGAAAATGGTAATAAAAAAATAATTCAATAATTAAAATGAATAATTTAATAAATTTGTTTCTTTTAGATGCTCTATTAAAGTATCTTGAAAAAGATGCTGGATCTGAACAATGTGATGATTGTAACCAGATAATTCGGATTCATGAATACTGTTTAGAAAATAATAACGAAAAAGTAATTATTTTTTTTTCGTAATATTAAATATATTGTTTGTTTTAGTTATATTGTATTGATTGTGGAATAAACAAAAAACAGTTCGACAACATCATTATTAAAAATGAAAATATTAAAGAAGCAGAGAAACGAAGTATTAAAAGAATTCAAAATATTATTAAAAAAATACGTACAACAACAAATAGAAACTAATCATTATTTATCATTTCTTTTTAAGTTTTAGTTTCAGTCATTGAATATTAACAACAATTCAAATCGAACACATGAACACTTGATTAATTTTTTTTTCTTGATAAATCATTCTTTTTTTTAAATACATAAAATATCGGGTGTCCCAACTGAAATATCCCTCTATATATTTTCCCAATATCTTGGTAAAAAATCACCGTATTGACGCAAGTTTTTTTTTAAAAGATGCAGAATTAAATTTTCTATAGATCTATCGGAGTAATATGCATTAATGATTAATTAAATTTGTTTCAGATAATGAAAAGTGAAGATTTACAAAAAATTGTTGTTTCAAAATATCAGAACGGCGATGGTCCAATCAAAATCTTTCGGGATTTAGGTGGAGGACTTTGCTTAAAAACAGTCAAAAGATGGTGTAAGATGATAGATGAAACTGGATCGATTA